ATAGGAATTTTATACATTTTTTTTCAAAGTTTTCAACAAAAATATAAGTTTTAAATTTAAATACAAAATAGTAAGTAAATAGTAAAAAATTATCTACTTAAATAAAATTAGTTAGTCACTTGACTTTTGGGTTCAAATTGTTGTTTTAATTTTAAATTAGGGCAAACTGAAAAAATTAGCATTTAATAATTTTTAACTTCAAAAAAATTGTATAAAAAAAAAAAGAGCGAGCCTAGGCGCGCATTAGCGATCAACAACTGTCGTTGACCACCAAATAAGGTGCTTGGCCTCGCCTCACACACCTAGGCGGCCACTTAAGCGCTCTTTTTAGAACGCTGATTAAAACTAACAAGATAAGAGCAGGTTAGGTGGACGGAGGACCTTAAACCGTATAACATACCATGACACAAAAACTAACAACTTTGTTAGTTTGCAGTTTTGAGGTTAATTACAAAATCAATTCTTTTAATCCCTTTTTCACATTTAAAAAATAAAATTGTGGGCCATCAAATGCACAAGAGTCGGTACTAGGATTCCACCTTCCACTGTCTACTTCTTAACGAATAATGTTATTTAACATGTAAGTATCAGTATGACAGTTCTTGTATCCAAGCTTGCTGAGATACATTCCACGATTTACTTCCTCCATAATGCTCTAGGGTATGAATGACAAAAAAGTTTGCCTGCTCGGGTTCGGCTCAGAAAAAGCTCGAGTCAGCCCAGCTCGAGCCGAGCCTCATTTTTTTGTCCGGGCTTTGCTCGGCTCGACTCGACTCGGGATCAAAAAAGCATTTTTATTTAATTTATAGTACGTATAAACAGTAAAAATTTTAAAATTTTTAAGTAAAAATGTAAATTTGACATTAAAAAAAAACCCCGAACGGCTCGACCCGACCCGCTAAGGCTCGAACCAAGCCCGAGCTTTTTTTTCGGCTCCTCAAAATTGGGGTTCAACATTTTTTAATAATGCTATTTAACACAAATCTACGACGTGTGACAGTACCAGTGACATTAAATTATAGGTCCAATTAAATAAATTATTAAATCTAATATTTAGTTGAATCTATCAAGTAAATACCAAATGGACTGGTGCTCTAATCCGTTTCCGTGTTTTTTTCTTTTTGGGCAAAGATATTCATTTTGTTGTATTATTAAATTACAAAATTGTGGATTCTTCTAGAAACTTCGAAGAATTTGTGGGGAAGTGGCAAGTGTGGAAAACAGAAATCCTATTTACAAGAAGTAAAGAAGAGAAGAAAGAAAAGAATAACGAATCGACATGCTGAAAAGGATGTATTGTCATCATTCTGGCCTGATAATTACGTGTGCGTCTATAAATGAAGATACGTAGGGACTCAGTTAGATGCAAATTCCTACCCAAGACGCAACCAATTCGCCGGATAGCCGCAACGCGGAGGTTTCTTCCGGCGAGATTTCTGTTAATCAATTTTAATGGCGGGTCAATCGAGAAAGTGGATGATTCTCGTGGCTACTATATGGATTCAAGCGTTTACAGGTACGAATTTCGACTTTTCAGCATATTCGTCGGAGTTGAAGGCGGTATTGGGGGTTTCGCAAGTGCAGTTGAACTATTTAGCGACGGCGTCGGACCTTGGCAAGGCGTTGGGGTGGTCGTCGGGGCTGGCGTTGATGTACCTTCCGCTGTGGATGGTTATGTTCTTGGCTGCGGCAATGGGATTGATTGGGTATGGCGTGCAGTGGCTTGTGATTAGGAATATCATTGCCTTGCCATATTTTGTGGTCAGTCAGTCATTTACTATTTTTTTTTATTGCTTAGCGGTTATGAGCTTCCAGTTTTCTTATTTTTTTCTCACTCTTTTTCAGTAATTATTTTGGAGGGTTAAGATCATGATTTCACACTACTTTGTGCTGAAATTTCATTTCGTTCTAAGTTGAATGCTGTACTTGAAAGTTTGCAGCTATTGAGTCGCTTTGATGTTTATTGATTTGACTATAGAAAATGGAATAACTGATCCCACAGTGTAGTTGATAACGTAATTGACAAAATTTTTAGGCACTCACATCACCTCAAACTAATGAATATGAACAAATGTGACTAATATTATTACAAAGTTTAAGATTCAGCGACAAAATTTAAACAAAATGAAGTTTATTTATTAAGGTGAAACTTTGCTAGAAGATTAGTGATCACGGGTGTATTTAAATAGTGGTTCAGAGTAGATTGTGCTGAGCTAACACGATGTCCAGTTCGGCCATTGAAATTTTGTTCACATTTGCCCAACTCAACTCACTTGACGCTCGTGTCCTTTCTTAGTGGTGGCCTTTTTTAATACGGGGTTCAAAGAATGGTCAGATAATCTCTACAGTGGAAAATGGAGATACGTGCCACCAACCAAACGTTTCGGATGACATTTGCCTTGTGCTCTTCTGGTTCATATTTGAAATATTTGATTTGCATTAATGGCAGAAAAACTTTTGGCCTCAAAATGATTTTTGTTTTGAATTATACTTGATATTGTGTAATTAAATGAATCATGTGTGAAATTGTATTTAAGTGAATCTATCATTTAAATACATGCAATTGTCACTTAAACTAGTGCTTGACACCAGTAACGCTGAATAGCATTACTCATTTGTTTTAATGATCAATACTCTTTGTTTGTTTCAAGGACTCACTGTCCCTGGCATTATTGACCCCACAAATTTTCACTCTTTCCTTTCAAAAATATGCTGATGTATCATTCTCTATCTGCATTGGTCGATTTCAATTATGAAAACAAAAACAAAAGCAATGTCAAGAGTTTTTGGTTGTTTCTAGCAAAACTTAATTTCTTAATAAAACAAACAACGGCTACATACAGACAAAATAGATAGTAGTTATGGAGTTTTTTTTGTAGTGGTTATCGAGCATACGTTCTGCGGTTTATTCTCTCTCTCTCTCTCTACTTTCTAAACATGATTGTAAATTTTATTTTTTTTCGAACACATAATTTCAACAACTATTCATATAGGTTTCTGGATTTTTTTCCCTTGATGCAACTTAGCCCCTGTTTTGGTTTAAATAAAAATCAAATTTTAGTAGATTTTGATAGAATTTGATGGAATGTATGGTTGAAAAGTTGTGGATCCCATGAACTATGTGGTTAAGTGTTGACTTTAAATTGAATTTTAATCCACTTTTCTAGTGGAACCAAACAGAGGCTTAATCATGTTTACTTGCATCTGGTAAGAACATAAAGATGTTTACAATATATACCGCGATTGTGAAAAATGATTAGGAAACTTGAGATGTAAATATCAAGAAGTTCAATCTTGATTGTAGATTGCTTTCTCAAGTTTGAGGTTAATACTTTGATAAAAAATTTTGTTCCGGTTGTTAAAATTAGATTCCCTTGTCTAGGACTCGATCTTGAACTATTGTTGTTGGATTCTGTAACTGGTCTTCTCAGTTTATTTCTTGTTCAATGAAAACATATACAGAATCATTATATCCAACACTGTTGATCAAATTCATCGTCTTCCATAGTTGTTAGCTACAGACTAAAAGTAACTATTTAATGCCCCTTCTTCTAAAGGCCTCCTAAAAACAACTACAAATTATGTATAAAGAGTAATTCTTAAACTATTTTTTTCTAATAGTTATCTTCAAAGTCAGCAAACATATATAAACTCTGTTTTATTAGCTGGAAATGTAATCATGAACTCGTTTTGCTGTAATTTTTTCTGTTGCAGGTGTTTTTATTGTGCTTATTAGCTGGATGTAGCATCTGTTGGTTCAATACAGTATGTTTTGTTCTCTGCATAAAGAATTTCCCGGGTACTCGACCGCTTGCTCTAGCTCTTACAGTGAGTTTTAATGGAGTAAGTGCAGCGTTATACAACCTTGCTGCAAAGTCACTAAACCCTTCTTCTACTTCATTGTATCTTCTTCTCAATGCATTCATTCCCCTTTTCACATCCATTGCAGCACTTATCCCCATTCTTTGCCAACCACCCCTAGATCCTCTCTCTCCAGATGCTGTCAAACGAGAGCAATTAACATTCCTTAAATTGAACTTACTGGCCATCATCACAGGCCTCTATCTTCTCTTCCTGCACTCATCAAACGCATCAACTGCTGGTTTTCTATTTATAGGTGCCATTTTTCTCCTCATTCTCCCTTTAGGTATCCCAGGTATTATCTATGCTAGAGATTGGTTCAAGCGCACAATTTACAAAAGCTTCCAGTTTGAGGGGTCGGGTTTTATGCTTGTCAATGCTGATGATCTTGAACTACATAAAGAGCTCCTTAGTCGGGAGAATAGTGTAGCCAGTGGACTAATCTATACTGTTAATGGTGAGGATTCTGTTCGTGGAATTTCTAGACAAAACACTAGAGCCAGTGAAGGGTGTTCTTGTGATACAGTAATAGGCCAAGATCGACTGGTAATGCTTGGTGAAGAGCACAAGGCAAAAATGCTTGTTTCTAGGATAGATTTTTGGTTATACTATCTAGCATATTTTTGTGGGGGCACAATTGGACTTGTGTACAGTAATAATCTTGGGCAGATAGCACAATCACTTGGACAAAGTTCAATGACTTCCAGGCTCATCACAATGTATTCATCCTTCTCCTTCTTCGGCCGTTTGCTTTCAGCAACTCCGGACTTCATACGAACGTAAGTAAACAAAACTGACTTCATGTTTGGGTTTCTGAGTTAGAACTCTAAAAAAATCTATTCATTTCCACAGGAATGTTCTATTTCCAATTAGTAATTACCAATTTTCGTGAAGGACCCAAAACCAATTAGTAATTATCAAGTTCCTGAATAGTAAGACTAAAAATGAGCTGAAAAAATAGAATGTCAATAATTTGCTCATGCAATTCACACTTGATAGTGTTCTCAACACAGAGCCCGTAGAGGTTTTGAATTCCTTTTTCACAAAATTTCAAGTGTTAGGCCACTGATTAAAAATGAATCTAGCAGCATGTTGAAGACTAAGTTTAAATAAAAAAGGGGCCCCCGTCGAACAACTTAACCTTTTAGATTGGATGGTTTCACACGTAGGACCAAGCATCAAATGCATGGAGTTTTAATGCCCTGAAATATTTCCGTATCTGCAGGAAGTTCTACTTTGCAAGAACTGGGTGGCTGGTCATTGCGCTTTTGCCTACGCCAATTGCCTTCTTCTTGCTCGCTGCAACTGGCACGGAGATGGCACTCCAAGCAGGCACGGCTCTTATTGGATTAAGCTCGGGATTCATATTTGCTGCTGCTGTTTCAATAACATCCGAGCTTTTCGGACCAAACAGTGTAGGAGTCAACCACAACATTCTCATCACAAACATCCCTGTTGGTTCACTTGTCTATGGCTTTCTTGCTGCTACTTATTATGATTCTAATGCTGATTCAAGGCCAGGACTCCTGACTGACTCGGTGGTTTGCATGGGAAGAAAATGCTATTTCTTGACTTTTGTATGGTGGGCTTGCATTTCTATCTTGGGGCTGGCCTCAAGTTTGATACTATTCTTGAGAACTAGGCTTGCCTATGACAGATTTGAAAGAAATAGATTGTCAACAATATTGGGTTAATAATTGTGATTGTAGCGTAGTGTAAATGGAAGTTCGTAGATTTGTTGATCATCTTATTTTACTCACGGTTAATAATAACTGAGATAGTTTTTGTGATTTATTTTCTTGATTATAATTAATTCCGTTTATGTTTTTAACCATGGTTGTAATCTGGCAATCATGTACAAAAAGTCAACAAGCAAGTTGGTAATTTTGCAGTTCAAGAAGCAACGTTCACAGGCAATGTGTATGGTTTAGTCCATGTTTGATTCACATTAAAATTTTCATTCTCATTTTTAATAATATATTTTTCCATAAAAAAATAATATTTTTTATCACATCAATAGTTTTTCCTATTTTTTTAATTATTCATTCTCCATCAATCTACTATTTCAAAAATTCTTCCAAAATATTGTGGCACAAACAAGCATTTACATCAAAAACCATGTCACGTGAAAAGGTTGTAAATTTCTTATTTCCCAATTTTCTTCTATTATTTTCATAACATTATTTGATATTATATGTGAATTCATCTTAATACACTTTTTCTATAATCGAATTGCAAAATCTATTAATTTAAATTATTTCATTCATTTCATGTTAAGCATCAATGATATGACATATCAATTATAGCTTCCAACTTTGTAGGAATCATTAAAATTCAATAATGTCTCATGGACCACTGATCCTTTGAAAACTCGTAAGTGCACGTGATCGTGATCAAATAATATAATAATGAATAGAGTGTCGAACCCACGAGAACTATGTGTTTGACCGAGTTAAAATTAATTATAAATCTAATCGAACAAGAAAAGTTGTCTTCGCGGCGGATTTTTTGTCTTTGCACATCAGTCAGTATTTCGGTCAAAACTTTCTTTCCCGCTATCCGATTGAGATGATTCAAAATGAGTGGAAAGTTAACTCAAAGAGCTACAACTTTTATACAAATAGAATTTTTTTTCAGTTTGGACGTTTACTATGCCAAAAATGGATTTCAATTTTCGACTAAAAATCTAGAATATAACTTGTGCGATTGAAAATTGATTTTGATAATATTTTGATCATATTCCGTTCCTTTTTGAGTTCTAATTCTATCCAATTGTTTCCTAATAATATTTAAAGTATCGTTTTGTGGTCCAAATCAACTATTGAATATTTACAATTTGGTCCTCAAACTTTAGACTGCCATCTTTTCTTAATTTTTCTTTTGTTTCTTCTAATTCCACATTCAACCATTGAGTTTTACCTATATAACATAAAATACAATAATTTAGAATTTATTTTGTCAAAATAATGACCAAATATCGATATTTTAGGCCCCAAATAAATGTATAAAATACATTTATCAACCACAATGTGCATGCCAACCGTGTTGAGATACTGACACCACCTCTGTTATAAAATCATTTTACATTAGAGTTTCTTCCTGTGAAAGCGAAACAAACAGTTGTTGTTGTATAAGAAGTGTCATGAATTTTGTGAATCTTTTGATGTAATTGATGTTAAATATCCAACAAATCCGACCAGCTTCCATGTTTGTCTTTTATGAATAAAATGCAAGTTCCCAATTCGCTTGTCTTACTTTTACTCCAATATCGAGTGAATTATTAAAATCATTTTCAAAATAATATTGATTTTTTATATTATTAGATGCATATAAGAATTGGCATGAATCGTAAAATCATTTACTAGGGGTGGACGTGGTTCCATTTGATTTTGATTCCAAGAGAATCGAACTGAACCATTAACCAATGATTTTTTTGATAATGGAACCAAATAGTTTTTTTTTTAGATGCGGAACTGAACCGAACTGAACCATTTGGTTCTGGTTCGATTTGGTCTGATTCTAGTACTATTACTTAAATTTTCAAACTTGCATAAGAAAATAATATTTGTAATCTACTTTAACTTTTTATTTTTCAAATTGACTTATATCACAATTCAATAAAAATATTGTCTTACTAGAATTTTTGACTAATATGTATAAAGTTGCACAAAAAACTATGAAATAAAATAAAAATGTCCAGTAAATTATGATATTTTTTACTATACCCTTGATGGCTTGGAGGAACAGCAAATTTGTGGAGACAAAGTTGGAGCATCTGCACAGAAAAGCTACGTTGTTTGAGGTTTGAGGGATTATGAATTTAGAAAGGAGTCTGGAGATGTTTTGAGATTTTGAGGATTTGAATTTGAAATAATGCATTGAAATGAAGTTTAAACACAAATATTGAATACAATTAAAATTAATGAGCTAAACACGTTTTATGGGCTGTACCAAAATAATGGTTATTGGGCTTACTTCAATTAACATAAAATCAAATTCATACAAAAAATAAAATTATAATTTAAGTTTGGTTCTTGGTTCTAGAATCGGAACCGAACCTAAACTACAACCAAATGGTTTTTTGTTCGAAGAACCAAAACTATTAATTTTTTTTTGTAGAACTGAATCGAACTGTTTGGTTCGGTTCGGTTCGGTTCGGTTTTGGTTTGGTTTGGTCTGGTCTAGTTTGGTCTAGACATTTTGTCCACTCCTATCATCTACAATAAGTTCGGTATGGTGGAGAGGCGGAGCTCGAGGCCTAATTATGCCGGCCAACGCCCATCCAATGCGTGTGGGGCTGGCTGGCCGCTGCATGTGGAATTTTTCGCATGTCTTGAGGCGTTGCCCACAAGCTTGTAGCAGCGCCTAGGCTTCGGGGTGATCGCGGCAGCTACCACAAGTGCACAAAGAAGAGGTGCGTATACACCTGTTCATGTTTTCTTCGGTTTACTCACCTCTTTTGACTTGAATTCAGTTATGAAATTTTAAACATGAAGTTATGTGACGCTTATGGATAGTTGTAACTCTTGTTAATGCATTGTTTCACCATCTACAAATAAAATTTGGCGATTTCTTGTTTGATATACACTAGAAAACAATATTGGTACACTTTTGAAAGGATGTTCCCTATTTCCTTAAATTTTCATTTATATAAAACTTGTTTTTACTTTTTTATTCTCAAGAGATAAGTGTAGACCTTTAGTGTAGAAATCTTTTATCATTGACGTTCAATTGTCTCACGCAGACAACATAATGACTTCATCATATATTAGAGACGTACTTGTGTCCTGAGTGCATCACTAAATTTGTGGGAGCAAATAGCATATTAAGGAAAGCACAAACACATGCCTTGAATTCGAATTTGACATAGTTCGAGATTTCTACATGTTTCAAACTTCATTTTCTTGTTCGAGCATATTCAAGGTCGTTCGAGATTATTCTAGAATCTAGAACATCCCTCTTCTTATTGTTCGAGAATCTGCAAGATCCATCTTAAGAAGAATTTTAAGCTTTGCACAACGTGCTGTGAATTCATTCACTCGATTGAAGTTAAAAGTATTCCAATTGAAACAAATTAAAGCGTAGCCATTCACAATCCACAAAGGAAAATAAGGACGCCTAAAAACTGTACATAGTCCAAAACAATTGCAGAGACATCTTATGCTGGCCGAAATAACGAAAAATGTAACATACAACATGGCTTGAAACCGGTACTAAAATCAACTTAGTACAAAATAGAGTAATCTTAGAGCTTATTGTCCGTATTATAGAACAAGGAAGAAATGGACGAGAGCCAAATATCATGATTCATTTTTGACGTTAATTATCTCTGCCTTCGCNAATCAAATTCATACAAAAAATAAAATTATAATTTTAGTTTGATTCTTGGTGCTAGAATCGGAACCGAACCAAAACTTTAACCAAATGGATTTTTGTTCGAAGTACCAAAATTATTAATTTTTTTTTGTAGAATCGAATTGCTTGGTTTGGTTCAGTTCGGTTCGGTTCTGGTTTGGTTTGGTCTGGTCTAGTTTGGTCTGGACATTTTGTCCACCCCTATTATCTACAATAAGTTCGGTATGGTGGAGAGGCGGAGCTCGAGGCCTAATTATACCGGCCAACGCCCATCCAATGCGTGTGGGGCTGGCTGGCCGCTGCATGTGAAATTTTTCGCATGTCTCGAGGCGTTGCCCACAAGCTTGTAGCATCGGCTAGGCTTCGGGGTGATTGCGGCAGCTACCACAAGTGCACAAAGAAGAGGTGCGTATACACCTGTTCATGTTTTGTTCGGTTTACTCACCTCTTTTGACTTGAATTCAGTTATGAAAGGATGTTCCCTATTTCCTTAAATTTTCATTTATATAAAACTTGTTTTGACCTTTTTATTCTCAAGAGATAAGTATAGACCTTTAGTGTAGACATTTTTTTATCATTGACATTCAATTGTCTCACGTAGACAACATAATGACTTCATCATATATTAGAGACGTACTTGTGTCCTGAGTGCATCACTAAATTTGTGGGAGCAAATAGCATATTAAGGAAAGCACAAACACATGCCTTGAATTCGAATTTGACATAGTTCGAGATTTCTACGTTTCAAACTTCATTTTCTTGTTCGAGCATATTCAAGGTTGTTCGAGATTATTCTAGAATCTAGAACATCCCTCTTCTTGTTGTTCGAGAATCTGCAAGATCCTTCTTAAGAAGCATTTTAAGCTTTGCACAACGTGCTGTGAATTCATTCACTCGATTGAAGTTAAAAGTATTCCAATTGAAACAAATTAAAGCGTAGCCATTCACAATCCACAAAGGAAAATAAGGACGCCTAAAAACTGTACATAGTCCAAAACAATTGCAGAGACATCTTATGCTGGCCGAAATAACGAAAAATGTAACATACAACATGGCTTGAAACCGGTACTAAAATCAACTTAGTACAAAATAGAGTAATCTTAGAGCTTATTGTCCGTATTATAGAACAAGGAAGAAATGGACGAGAGCCAAATATCATGATTCATTTTTGACGTTAATTATCTCTGCCTTCGCTGACGCCCGAGGAAACTGTTTAAGTTCATTCAATATCGACACACCTCCATCAGAGACGCTGCCAGAATGGGGCAAAATTGCCATTTCTTCGAGTCCAGTTGCGGATGCCAAGAGATACTTGACAAATTCCATTTCGGGCTCGACC